CCATGACCTTCTTAATAAGCACAATGAGTTGCGTGATTATGTCGCACAGGGCAGTGAAAGAAGAGGAGCACCGGGACCCCAGCCGGCTGCCAAAAACATGCAAAGAATGGTATATCAATCGAATTTTTTCTTTTTTTAAACAACATGTTTTGAAAATTATTATTTTTGTGAACTGTTTGACAATTTCTTTTCTTCTTCTAAAATCTTCAAAAATTATGTTTTCTCAATGACCACAGATATTTTTGGGATTTTTTACTTTGCAGTAAGTCAGATTTTGCTTTTTTACACCTAAAAGTTTTTTATTGCATTAAGTTTTTTAGACATTAAAAAAAATGGTTATATGTCTGGATAAAATGTTCACATTAGTTTTTATCGGCCCTTATCATACAAAAATAATTATAAACACACATCTCACAATCATTGCCACAGCCTCATGGGGGAAAAAGGAGAAGTCAAAAATTTACGTACTAACTTTGTAAGTAATTATTAAATTCCTTGATTGTATAAAAAGGTATGGGACAACGAATTAGAGAAGATAGCGCAAACGTGGGCGAATCAGTGCTCATTTGAACACGACACGTGCCGTAATGTTGGTGAGTTGCTCTGTTTGTTTTGTCATCTTAAATTCCTCAGAATTTCTTGTGGTACGAGATTTCTCTCGCTGCAGGTCGTTTCTCAGTTGGCCAAAATATATACCAGGCCGGGACGTCCGGCGATCCCCGATCCATAAACGTTGTGCAAGCGGTAGACTCGTGGTACAAGGAAGTCGTGTATTTCGACAGGAATGATGTTCGTCAGTTCAGGTACGCCATTTATTTCTATTTTTTATTTTTTAATTGCTTTTTGGTTGAAAAGTTAAACAATTTTTCTGTGAATCCATGTCAATTGTTTGCAGAGATGTAAATTCAAGAAATGGAAAAGTAGTAGGCCATTACACGCAATTAGTGTGGGCAAACAGTGATAGGCTGGGCTGTGGCTCCAGAAACTACGACGATGGAAAGTATAAATGGAAGTACATCGTTTGCAATTACGGACCGACTGGGAACTGGATTCGACAATCGGTTTATCAGCCGCGTTGAAGGTCCCTTTAATTCTATCAATAAATATTTTGGTAAAAAATAGTTTACCTTTTTTTCTTGTTAATAAAGAAAAAAATTTAATTCATCTACTAATGTAAAATATGACATGAATAAAAAGTTTGAGCAGCCAAGCAACTTAATCTGCAGTGATTTTTATTCGTTTAAAACATGCGTGACAAGAACTTGATAAATAAAACCGACGATTGTGACAATAAGAAAATTAAAATTGAATTAGTAACTCTATGAATATTCATTTGTTGAATTGTTAATTTTAATGTAAATCAGCCACAGCTGTTGGATAATAAATTACCCCGGAAAATTTCAATCATCACTAATTTGTTAATTCCACGTCGATTTTTTGTTTTCCTACGATAAATCTTGGGCAACACTCGCTTGTCTCGCATGAAATCGCACGAAAAGAAACACGTACAGTATCCAGCAAACTAATGTACATTTATTTTTAAATACAGCAATTCTTCCTATCACTCGTCATATATGTATCCGTGAAACGTTTTTTATCCAAAACATTTCCACGCTAAAAGCATTTGTGGTAATTGTAAGATTACAAAGAGAACGACGAAGAGCAAAACAAAAAGAAAATTAGAGTTCTATGCATAAAGAAGCATATTTAAAGGAGTTCCTGTCTTAACTCTATTTTCACGTGTCTACCGATGATATGTAGTAATGTTTGTAGTTGGTATTAGAAAAATTGTATTACTCACGTATCTACGAAGTTACGAAGCAAAAAAAAATTTTCTAAAGGACTTTGAAGTCATTTAATGAATTTGTCCCAAAAACTTCGAATGATTTCCAAAGTCTTTTTGAGTCTTCAAAATACTTTGCAGTCATTAGGCAACTCTGCAAAGTTCAAAAGTCTTCGTAAGTGTTTGAGTGACTCTAACAATTTAGAAAATTTTTTTACGCTGTTGTCTTTAATAGTTTACAGCCTCCTCTGACACAGACTCATTTGAAATCGCCACTCTAAAAAAAGGCACACACGAACTGAAAATTAAACCGTCCAAACGCAATCGCCAATAAAATCCCCCGATGAAACAAAAACACATCAGTCCCACCCCTGATGGCATCAAACGTCAGCCGGAAGGTGTACCCTCGAGGCACAAGCTTTGCCTCACCGATAATAATCATCACCAGCTACCGTGTATTCTCCACCATCCAGTGAAAGCGCACCGTTAGCCTCTCCACTCCCCTTTTGCGCACAACCAGGGAGCTAGTCTTTGTTCGACTATTTCCTCTCGTTAGCCTGAACGCAGTTTTCGTCATTAACGCCATTCCGAGTATTTACGTGTACACACACACACACATACATCCGTATATGAAACTGCTCGCGGGCTGTGTCTATACTCTGTCGTCTTGTCGCGAATTATCCTTGTTATCGCCTCTGTTTATCCAAATACCCGCGTCTTTGGCGACGAGCGTAATTAAAGAGCCGCTGCAACTCGGGGAATCAGCCACTGTTGACATCGAGATGAAGGAGAATCACGGGTTGGCAATCACTTGTTTTTCACAGTATAAACCCGATGCATTTTGTCGAATCGTACGAATGATTTTCCAAGGCCATCCAGAGATTTTCCCGTCAAAAAAAAAAAAAAAAAAAAAACAGTCCCGACGGCACGGAATAACCGGATGAAGGACTAAAATCCTGCGGAGTGTGTGTGTAGACGCGCGAAACAAAAGGTTGGGAGGAGGTAGAGGCATCATCTCATCGTCGCCGAGGAAATTACCGCGGTAGCATCGTCTCGGAGCTCGAGCTTCCAGCCCGCCGAGCTGTCATCCGCCTTCCAACTGAGACGCAACGCAGAGGAGGCGCGCAAATGAAGTTACACAGTTGTTCCGGCTGGCTGGGCTGCAGCCGCGGGCTCTTGTATATACACGTTTATGTGTGGGTGTGTGTGTGTGTACAATACACCTGTACACAGGGGCGTCCTTTGTTTTTCCTCCGACCCTCCAGGACGAGCTTCCGGCTAAGACGCTACTGCCGCACGGTAATTTGGACTTACTCGCGTAGTGCCTCTTATTTTTCAGGGAGGATGAGTTTTGTTGTCGTCGAGGGGAACGTTAATGCGCACTACGCGGCGATTATGTTGCCGTTGGCAGTTTGTTTTTCGAGTTTAATGAGGCGTGAAATGTACTCGTGTTATAGTGTGTTATTATTTTTCGCGGGGGGGGGTGAGCTTTTTTGTTTTCCCGGTTGGGCTAACGCGCTGAAATATATGTACATGGCCATCTGAATGAGGAAAGATTATGTCATTTGGATTTCGAGTGAGTAATTTAGTCGTAAGATGAAATACTATTTTAGTCCTTGTTGAGTCAAATTTATGATGCTTACACGTTGTACGTGAATTGAGGTTATGAATAAAATAGGTGTCTCTATTATCGACACATTAACGACGTCTAATGTCACATTCTTTTTCTTAAGGAAGTTCACTCGTACCTAACCTTTTTGACGCATAAAATTAGCAAATTGTAATCTGCGTGACTATATATACAGATATAACGCGACGTACTAACGGTAGTTGTCGAAGGAGATTATTTTATTCACTAATTTATTGCTCATTCCATATGCCACGAGTATCCAGATATTGCAGGTTATGTATCAGAACAGTACTGATTCTCATTAGGCTGCATATTAAAAGTTCAATAATAAAATCATCAATATCTCACTTTATAAGCCATAAAGGGACTTGAAATTTAAATCGAAGGTTTTTCATGCCCTAATTAATCTCTGTTCCAAGTATTATCAATATATTGATGTTAATTCTCTTAGCGAGTGAACTCCCTTGATCAGGAAAAATTACCGTAGCTTCATGGTAAAAAGTATAGCTGACGATGATAAATTTTTTTGACATCAAAAAGTTGCAGAGAAGCTATGGTTTAGTGAGATTTTGTTGGTAACTTTTTTCCATGTATGTAAGTACTATCGTTGAATCATCTAGTTTTTTTTATGCGTTAATCGATTGAAACAAGTAACTTGAGTTAAAATAATATTAAATAAAGTGAAATTTTAAATAATAACTAATTGTGCCTTTATTTCTAAATGTTTTTTTATCAAAACTGAGGTGATTTATAGTACTTAAATATATAATGCAATGTTTGAAAAAATTGTGAGTATTTAATGGAATTTTACATAATAAATCATTTTATTAAAATCTCATTCCTTAAGGCATCATTTCTTCAAAGTGTCACCAATGTAAACAAGGAAGTAGCGAAAAAACATAATGTTCTTTTATCAAAGCTTTTAAATTACAAAGTGAAAAAATTACAACTAAGTATTATTATCGTTGATAACAGTAGCAGTAACGAGCTTTTTGTGAATATAAATATCTGAAAAGCTGGTATGGCCTCAGAGTGTACCTCATTCACCTGAAAATGGGAAACAAGAGCCTAGTCCTTTTGGTCGCGTCTATAGCGCTCGTTGATTTCGTTTGCGGTCAGAGCTACTGTGACATATCGTCATGTGGGAACAATAAACGAGCCCATACTTTATGCCGCTTCAACGTAAGTGTCCGAATTTTTAGTTTTTCTAACGAAAAAATTATTAAACTTAAATAATTTATTATTTTACTCTCGTAGCCGAACGTGGTGTCAAAAAAATGCACCGATAAAGGAGACTACGGGGGCGGTCTCTCACAAGCGGAAAAAGACGTCCTTCTTAATAAGCACAATGAGTTGCGTGATTATGTCGCACAGGGCAGTGAAAGAAGAGGAGCACCGGGACCCCAGCCGGCTGCCAAAAACATGCAAAGAATGGTATATCAATCGAATTTTTTCTTTTTTTAAACAACATGTTTTGAAAATTATTATTTTTGTGAACTGTTTGACAATTTCTTTTCTTCTTCTAAAATCTTCAAAAATTATGTTTTCTCAATGACCACAGATATTTTTGGGATTTTTTACTTTGCAGTAAGTCAGATTTTGCTTTTTTACACCTAAAAGTTTTTTATTGCATTAAGTTTTTTAGACATTAAAAAAAATGGTTATATGTCTGGATAAAATGTTCACATTAGTTTTTATCGGCCCTTATCATACAAAAATAATTATAAACACACATCTCACAATCATTGCCACAGCCTCATGGGGGAAAAAGGAGAAGTCAAAAATTTACGTACTAACTTTGTAAGTAATTATTAAATTCCTTGATTGTATAAAAAGGTATGGGACAACGAATTAGAGAAGATAGCGCAAACGTGGGCGAATCAGTGCTCATTTGAACACGACACGTGCCGTAATGTTGGTGAGTTGCTCTGTTTGTTTTGTCATCTTAAATTCCTCAGAATTTCTTGTGGTACGAGATTTCTCTCGCTGCAGGTCGTTTCTCAGTTGGCCAAAATATATACCAGGCCGGGACGTCCGGTGATCCCCGATCCATAAACGTTGTGCAAGCGGTAGACTCGTGGTACAAGGAAGTCATGTATTTCGACAGGAATGATGTTCGTCAGTTCAGGTACGCCATTTATTTCTATTTTATTTTTTAATTACTTTTTGGTTGAAAAGTTAAACAATTTTTCTGTGAATCCATGTCAATTGTGTGCAGAGATGTAAATTCAAGAAATGGAAAAGTAATAGGTCATTACACGCAAGTAGTATGGGCTGACAGTAATAGGCTGGGCTGTGGCTCCAGAAACTACAACGATGGAAAGTGGAAATGGAAGTACATCGTTTGCAATTACGGACCGACTGGGAACTGGATTCGACAATCGGTTTATCAGCCGCGTTGAAGGTCCCTTTAATTCTATCAATAAATATTTTGGTAAAAAATAGTTTACCTTTTTTTCTTGTTAATAAAGAAAAAAATTTAATTCATCTACTAATGTAAAATATGACATGAATAAAAAGTTTGAGCAGCCAAGCACCTTCATCTGCTGTAATGATTAGTGAAAGTTTTAATGCCAAAGAGCCGAAAAAATGCAAAATAAGAGTACCATAATTTTAGGAGCGTTTGCTAATGGATTCATATTTTTGTATTAAGAAAATAAGCTACAGCAATATTAAAGCCATATGTTTGTAGCTTTTACTGGACAAATTATAGTTTGACAATAATTACAAAGCTTTATTCTTGTGTATGTAAGTCATGTACCTACGATGGTACCAAGTCAGAAAAAACGTGCAAAAGACAGCACTGACCCCATTAGAATCATGTAATTAACGGTATTCGTGCTATTGGTATGTAACGGTGTTTGTCCTTTCTACGAAAAATCTCCAAAAACATCACTTTTTCCGAGACTTTTTCGAAATATTGATTGTTGGGCGATTGAAGCAGTTTTACTCGCTGTGTGATTGGCTTAGAGATATTGCGTTATTCGTTCAGCAGGTTTTTAAAATCCAATTTTAAAAAACCGTTGGAATGATTGATATCAAATAAGCTTGAAATACGAAAATGATCTGAAGTGATTTGTTGGTATTCCTAAAAGAAGTAACGAGACAAAAACTGTAGTTTATAAAAGTAAACATGACATATGAGTATAATTTATCCATGTATTTATAAATGATTTAAAAAAGTTATGCCAATCACAATTGGGTAATTTCAAGGGACTTTGATGTAACTAGTCGCACTACAAAAAATACGATTGCGAAAATAAAATTAACAAGTCCAAGTAGATCGTCCACCCTTTTTGGCAAGCTAATCTTTATGCTCCCCTAAACTCTGATGAAAAATTTCTCCCATAGCCCGCTTACAATTCCCTTATAAATTCAGTGCAATAACAGCAGCCAGCCGCCCCGTCGTCGTGGGCGTGTATCTCTAGAGCTGTGGTTTACAAGAAGTAAAAAAAAAAAAAAAAAATTGCACATACGCTTTGACAAAAGTATACAGGCGAGCTACGAAACCCTTCTGCGGAGAATAAGGTATCGTTGGATATTTTTTAACTTTCCATCTCTTACACCAACACAAAGAACAGAATAGATAGATATCCCACGAAAATCCCAGAGACGACGACGACGACGACGACGAATCATATTCCGGAGAGCATACACGCAAATTTACATACGCAGCTCTCTCCCTTGGCTCCCGCGCTGTGTGCTCGCGTTATCTGATCCCATCCAATTTTATTGGAAACGAGAGTAACAATTTTTTTCCTCTTCTATTATTCAGGGGCTCCCGAGGATATATATTACATATATATGTATACATTGTTCTCCCCCCCCCCAACCCCTTTGCCCTCCTATCCTCGGCTGGTCGCAGGAATAACATTAGGAGTCCCTTCGCGGTGGCTCTCTTTTTTCCCCCTTTCTTGTGTCTTTTCTTTAAGGAAAAATGACGCCGTTGTTTCTCGTGGAAGATTTTTCACTCGGCTTAGCCAGCTGAAGTTGCATTTCTCACCGATAGATTTTTTCTTAAGAAAAATTTCATTTTGAATAAAGGTTCGACATTTTTCTTCACGCGCAGTTAACGAGGTTTTTGAAAAATTTTACGGCTCCTTAAATAAAAAAATGAATTTCCAAGGTATAGCGTGAGGCGACAAGGAGTTTTGAATATGAATACCGAGATCTTACAGATTTTGTTGCTTGAAAGATTTATAGGTTAGGTCGTGGAAACATAACCTATGTCTCGGCGATGAACTATTTTTAATTTTTCATTCACTTTTAGTATCAGATTCGTTGATGGTATTAAATAACATTTTTGTATCTCATTTACGTAATTTTAAGGTACAGTTGATAAAATTTGTTTATTACTTCTTAATTGATTAGAGGCTTTGTAGCATACAATCCCCAAAAAATTCCAATCGATAAATATCAAATCTACTCCCCTCGGACGTAATCACGACCCAAAAGAAAGCAAATACTCGAAAAAGGGCACTCGACCACGCGTCGTCTCGTAAAATGAACACGAGGGAGGGGAGAAAGGGACGCCTGTCAATATTTATTCACCAACAGTATACGTGTAGGGGCTTCAGCTGCTAATGATCCTCAAGAGAGTTTTACGATTTTCTCTTGTTTTTATTGTTGATCGTCATTCTATTTTTCGTTCTTTTAAGGACTATTATACTGTACAGGTTGTGACGCAATACCAATGAGAGTCACTTCTAACATAAAACAAAAAAATAATGAATAAAATTGTAAAAAGGCTGACACGAGGATTAATGAATTTTTAAACTAACTACAGAAAAGAAAATATATATTAGATTAACCAACAAATATTGTCACAATTCATTTGCATGGTAACGACAACCAAATCATCGTTTTGATTTGAGGAACTAAATTTTGTTTGGCTAGGCCAGTTACTCATTTTTTTTATTTCACGTAAGTAAAATCGCACAACTCACGTATGTGTATATCAAGTCGAAAAATCAACGAGGATCAACAAAATCTGACAATTACAAGAGACTCGAACCTTCGACGCCATTAAACTCGAATTTCCCGCGGGCACAGGTGTACTTCTGACATCCTCGCGCTTTTCCAGAGATGATGCGGAAAAGATGCTCGGGAGCGTTTCCAAACTGCTGAAAAATCGCCACGTAATGATCGGGAGCCACCCACCCACCGCGAGAGGAAAAAAAAGGGGGAGAGACTGCCACGCCTCTATCTCTTTCTCTATGGGTCGTCTAATGCAATTAAGAATTTTAAGTTTGCGCCAAAGTGGGTCAAAACGAGGGACTGACTGGAATTTCCACCGAGAGAGGAAGAAAGAGGGAGGGAAAAGTACGACGACCCTCCTCCTGTTTTTGCATCGTTAACATATAATTTACGATTCCTCTTTTCTCCTTCTGTTCTGCAGGGGTACTTTTACGAGCTCGTGGTTTATTATTTCAGTTTTCTTTTCTCTTCCTTTTTGTTTTGTTTCGTGTCCTCTCGCACTGGGAGTCGATCACCAGTGATTGTTTATTGCGTTTATTTTTATTTTTTTTATTATAATTTGTAATTGATTAGGTGAACAAAAGTTTTTTTTTTGTTATGCCGAGAATCTGTGATGAGGAAACAATGAAATAAAATGGATATTTCATTTGTAAAGTTTAGTTAGGTAAGACACTTTTGTTAAAATAATATCGATTGACAAGGAAAAAAATTTAATAGCATATTTTATAATTCTTCCTTTATCAGTGTTGCTTATAATTCTGAATAAAATAACTATGGATGTCTTATTTATCAACATCCCATTCTCTTAACTGAAAATCACCTTAAAATACTTTTAATATTGCATTATTTATATGTTAGTCATTACACATATATAGTATGGGCT